CTGCCGGCCAATGTGGGCGGGCAGATCCTGGCGGCCGCGGCCCCCCACACGGGTGGACAGCTCATCGCAAACCCAATCCTCACCAACCAGAACCTGGCAGGCCCACTGAGCCTGGGCCCTGTGCTGGCCCCCCACTCCGGGGCCCACAGTGCAGCCCACATTCTCTCGGCACCTATCCAGGTGGGCCAGCCAGCGCTCTTCCAAATGCCCGTGTCGCTGGCAGCAGGCAGCCTGCCCACGCAGAGCCAGCCCGCACCCACCGGGCCCGCCGCCACGACTGTCCTCCAGGGTGTCACCCTGCCCCCCAGTGCTGTGGCCATGCTCAACACCCCAGACGGTCTGGTGCAGCCAGCGCCCGCTGCTGCCGCGGGGGAGGCCACACCTGTCCTCACGGTACAGACGGCCCCCCAGGCACCCCCAGCAGTCAGCACCCCGCTGCCTTTGGGCCTCCAGCAGCCACAGGTGCAGCAGCCGCCACAGCAGGCCCCCACCCCTCAGGCTGCTGCCCCGCCTCAGGCCACCCCCCCACAGCCCAGCCCAGGCCTGGCATCCAGCCCAGAGAAGATTGTCCTGGGGCAGCCACCCTCTGCGGCCACCGCAGCCATCCTCACTCAGGACCCCCTGCAGATGCTCCTGCCCCAGGTAACCACGTGGCAGGGAAGGAGGGGCGGGTGGGCAGGGGTGCTGTGGACGGGCGGGAGCTGAACCGATGGGCTGAGGCAGCCACTGGCGAGGCTCTCGTGGGTCAGGGAGAGCTTCTCAGGGATGGCAGCCCTGCTCCGGGTATGGGCATCCCCTGGGAAGAGGCCCGAGGATCACAGGGAGACAGATGGACAGGGAGAGGGACCACTGACAGATTGACAGGAGAGAGACTGACAGACAAGGGGAGAGACCCACTGATGGGCCAGGAGAGGGATTGCAGAGAGTGGGCAAGACTGGATGGACAGACGGGCAGGACGGGGAGGTGGAGCTAGAAGACAGCTGACAGGGACTGAGTGGCGCCAGCTGCCTGGGTTGTGGCCTCTCTGGCACCGGGGGTTCCAGCTCCTGGGCCTCTGCGCCCAGCCGTTTGGTAGCCCTCTGCCAGTCCCCACCAGTCCCCACCACTCCCTTTCTCTGGAGCATTGGTGGGGGGGGTCTCAGGGTTGGGAGGCTGGGGGCCCACAGGGTGGCCTTCTGACCCTGTGTGGGCTGCCCATTTCAGGAGAGGAGCCAGCAGCCCCTCTCCACAGAGGGCCCCCACCTCTCCGTGCCCGCCTCGGTCATAGTCAGCGCCCCGCCTCCCGCCCAAGACCCAGCCCCGACTACCCCCATCGCCAAAGGAGCTGGCCTCGGCCCTCAGGCCCCCGACAGCCAGGCCACCCCGGCACCGGCCCCCCAGGTAGAGGAACCCGTCAGCCTCTGTCCTAGCTCAGAGCAGCCTCGCCCCTGCGTCCCCTCCCCCTGCTCCCTCTCCTTGCTCTCTGGCTGTCCTGCCTGCCTCTCTGTCTTGCTGGCTTGGGAAACGGCACTGCCTTGGCTCCCCAGCTATTTCCTGAGGGTCTCCTAACAGTCACACAATTGTGTGGCCTCCTGAGACCAGGGCCAGTCCAGGGGAAAACCCACACTCTAGTCAGGGACACAAGATACATGCAGGAGGAAACTGATTATTTCCTAAAATTATCATTTTTGTATCTGGATAAGTAATAATTATTTACAGCTAGCTTAAAGATAGCTCACATTTCAAAAGATACCCTAAGGTCTGTGGAGGCCAGCTCCGCAATCCAGCTAAACTTGAACCTAAGAGGGGTGGATGGGAGATTAAGAAAATGCAGAAATAGATACAAAAAAGACACAGAAACCAAAGTTGGATCAGGAGGTACACCGATGGCTGGTGGCAGACAAGTGATACAGTTTATTTTCTGAGCACAGCTTAGGTATACAGGCTCATAATGATGTCACTTCTGGGCTCATCTCATCTGGTGGCATCATTTCTGGTTCTGGTGTTCTTACTCCGGTGACGTCACTTCCGGCAACCAGATCTGGTGACCTCACTTCCAGCCCTCCACATCGGTGTAGATGAAAAGCCCCGTCCCTTGAACTGTTGCCTGCTGCTTTCCCTCCCTGAGGTGGTTTCTTGTGTCCTTTTCTGTGCATAGACAAACAAAATCATACCTGGATTCTTTTCCTCCCATTTTTACAAAAATGATGAAAACATACTGTGCGTGCAGTTGCACCTTGCATTTTGGAGGTTGTACTTGGTCTTTTATTACTGCCTTGTATTCCATCCTATGGGGATGGTGGCATTTACTCAACCAGGACTTGTTGGGCACTTAGGTCATTTCCAGTATTTAGCTACTATGACCAATACTGTAAAGAATGACTCTACGTATGTCACTTGGTAGGGTAATTTCTTAAAAAGGAAAGTGATGGGTTTGTTGGAGGGCATATGCATTTGTAGTTTTGACAGATATGGCCAAATTGCTCTCTGGAGTGTAAGTCGGTTTAACCTCTATCAGCAGTATATGATCTGTGCCTATTTTCCCACAGCCTCAACAACATACTGAACTTGGCCAATCTACTAGGTAAAAAATAGTACCTTGTTGTGTTTTAGTTTGCATTTCTTCTGTGAATGACATTGGGGAGGTTTTCATAGATTTAGAACTATTTTTGTTTTTTATGGAATTGTCTATTCTTTGCCATTTTGAAAATTAGGTTAGTGGTCATTTTCTTATTGTTTTGTAGAAACTCTTTACATATTAAGAAAATTAATTTGTCTCACATGAGTCATAAGTTCATGAGAGTTTAGGCAGGGCCACCTTTTATTCTGAGGGGCTGGATGTTGCACTCATTCAGAAAGGCCCAGTGGATAGGCAGAGGAGGGGATAGTGTCAACAGGGTCCAGGGGGGCAGAAATGGGCACGGTCTTTGGCCTTAAATGGCCATGGTTTCATTCTCTCTGCTACTTTCCGTGTGACCTTAAGCAATCAGTCTCTTCATTCCATCAACAGATGTTTGGGAAAGCAGGATGCTTAGTGTGTGCCAGGCCTTGAGCTGACGCTGAGCAAGTTCCCTCCTGAGTAACTGCTGAGCCTTGATTCTGGAAAATGGGAACCATAGTTTCTTACAGGTCTATTAGGAGGAGTAAAGTTGTTACTATATGCTTAGCACAAAGTCAGCGCTCAATAAATATTTGCTGTTATTATTTTATTGTTGTTAAGGGTTTAGAGCATAAGTCCAGTCCAGAGTCACAATCCAGAGGGACATGGAGCCAGGACGGCATCAGGTCATCTCTACACCAGGAAGAAAAACAGGCAGAAGTGGGGGAGGGACAAGGGGAGAGGGGCTCAGATCGGAGCCTTGGGTCCCTTCGGCAGTGGCTTCCCCTCTCCAGTCCAGCCCTGGCCAGATGTACCGTGGGGTGTGTAGAATCCTTTCCTCTGAGCACTGTGGCTGAGAGCTGGGCCAGAGCATTTTTGTCCTCTGCCAGCTTCAGCGTACATGCCACAGATGTTTGTCAGGCACCTGCCCTGTGCTGACTCAGTGTGGGGTACACCACCGTGACATCAAAGGGAGAGAACATTCTAGGAGCATCTGCGGTACAGCCGCAGGTAAACAGCCGGTAGATAAAAGCGCTGATGGTGGCAGACAGTGTGACAGAGGATGCCCACGAGGAGACAGAGGTCAGGGACCCACTGTAGGGAGAGAAGGCAGGAGAGGCTTGGGGGTGGGGGATTACTGAAGCTGAGGCCTAAAGAAAGAGGAAACACCCTTGCTTCAGGATGGGCCCGGAGCCTTCCCAAGTTGTGAGAAGAGTATATGCAAGGGCCCTGAAGTGGGGAGGAGCTCGGGATGCTCACCGAACGGCAAGCAGTCCTGGGAGAGTGAAGGGAGATGCGGCCGGAGAGGGTGGCAGGACCTGTGGCCCGCAGTGAGGAGTTCAGACCTAGAGACCATCAGAGGGCTTTGGGCTGGGCTGTGGCATGGTCTGATCCTGTGACTTCCAGTGAACCCTCTGGCTGCCATTGGAGAGTGGTTCAGTGGGAGACTAGAGTGGAAGTCCAGAGGTTCTCACGGGACAGGATGGCCACAGGAAGGATTCAGGAGACAGTTTGGGACTTGCTTGAGGATTAGAGGCATGCAGAAGAGGGGATTATCTCTCGAAGGAGAACATTTCTGTTATTTCTGGGTGCCGTCCCAAGCACTTCACAGGCATTATCTCATTTAAACTTCCATCGGGTAGGTGGTGGTATCCCATTTCACAGGTGAGAAAATGGAGGCACAGAGAGATTAAGTAGCTTGCCCAAGGCTACCCAGCTGGTAGGGCCTAGAGCCAAGCCCTCGTTCTTTGTTGCCAGAGACACCTGAGGTCTTGAGAAAGATAGGCCTGAGCATGCATCCCAGCTCTGCTTAGCTATCAGGCTCTCAAAAAGTTTGCTGATCTGCAAAATGGAATAAGGCCACCAGCTTCACGCAACGGCTCTGCACAGAGCAGGCGCTCAGTGGGTAGGTACTTATCAGCGGTGATAGTAACGATACTGTGGATGACCTTTGAGCAGGAAGGTCACTGTTCACAGGCAGCTGTGCACACGGGCCGACTCCTAGTCACATACACAGGCCAGCATAGGGCTGGTCACACCGCAGGCCCTCTGCAGGTTTTGTGCCATAGCAGTGTGTGGCACGATGGGAGGTTCTTGATGAATGTCGGGCGTGAACATCAGAAACATACTGTCTTGGAACAGATGTCTGTGTGTGTGCTGAGAGCCGCCCTCAGACTAGGAGGCTGCAGGCAAGTGGGTCATGCACTCAGCCCCAGCCCCCGGCTGCCTGCGCTGTGCCCAGCCTTGGGCAGGATGGCACAGGCGAGCCAGCGCCTGGCCCTGTCCTCATGGGCCTCACAGTCTGGGGACTGATTTTTGTCAATATCCTGGCTCTTAAAATTGTCCCTCGGGAGGCTCTGACCGGGTTTCCAGGGAGAGCATTGACCACTGTGCTGAGGAAACTCCAGGCCTGCTACCTATTGTTCACAGTAAGCTTAAAAAGAACTTTATGGTTAGAAAAAAAAATTGCAGTTTACAAAGAGGAAAGGGTCTACAGTTAAAGTAAGTCTCCCTTTTCCTGGACTTTCTGGCCTTCTCCCCAGAGACAACCACCCAGTTTCTGTGCTGAGCGCCACGGTATCACTGTTGAGTGGGATTTCTCGGCTCTGGCACTGTTGCCATTTGGGTTTGTGCATGGTCCTTTGGGCCAACCTGTCGGCCGTGGCGTATGGGCAGCACCTCGCCTCTACCCGCCAGATGCTGGCAGCACCCAGGCCCCTGTCACGACAGCCATCAAGATCTCCAGAGGTCGCCAAGAGTGGCATGGGAGTCAGAATCTCCTGGGTAGAGAACACTGTTCTGTGCATATGTGGGAATCCCTCACTGCCTGAGCTCACGCTGGAGGGATTTGATTGCCAGAGTGTGTGCGCCCTGCCCTGTGTTTTACGCATATTCGCTCTTCTGCATCTTGGCTTTGCTCATTTAACAATATCTCTTGGACCACTGACTTGCAGGCGATTTTTTGATCGCCACCCTGAGTAAGAATTAATTTTATAGCCCCGTCCGGGACACACATACGGATCATGCTGCTGAAACAAAAGTTTCACAGGATAATACCTGGGGTGTCTCTGTGGGTGATGCGTGCTGATATTGTCTGTTTCCTCTGTTTTTTTTAAAACATTGGTCACGGCCCACCAGACAGACTTGAGCCCTTGCTAACAGGTACTTGGTGTGGTTTGAAAACCACTGTGCAGGAGCATTGTTGTGGGGCAGCAGACAGGAACAGGGACTCCAGAATCCTGACTCAGCCCCTTACAGGCCCCTGTGACCTTAGGCAAGTCACTTACCTCTCTGTGCCTCAGTTGCCTTACCTGTAAAATGAGGATAGTAATAACAGCATCTGTTTTGTAGGGTTTTGTGAGGGATAAAAAGATGAATATACCTAAAGGGTTCA